AAAGCTTTAGTCTGCAGAGCTTTAAGTATTAAAATGTAAACTTTACCACAGAACATAAAATTTGTGAGGGTCATTATTTCAAAATATTAGTTTTCTGAATATCATGTAAATAAATTTAAATTATTTTCAAAAAACTTGGGAAGTGCAAGAAGACCTCCCTCGAGTAGGCTGTCATTGCCCCTGTCAGCAGTCTTCATTCTTAAAGCCAGAACACAAACCTGAGAACTAACAAGTCATCTCACTGAACGTAAAATCCTGGTCTGCTTCAAATTGAAAAGCCTCATCTCATTTGCTTTCTGAAACAGCATATGAAAGGTGTCTAAATAAAGACATCCTAAAGTCATCAAAATAAAGATACAAATGAACATTTGCAAGTGAAGAGCAGATCAGCCACTGGGCCCAAAGGCACCTTGCCAGGTGCTGGCCCTTCACCGAGTTGGGTGTAGGCACACACACACCAGTTGTGCAATGGAGAGGAACTCGCACCACACACCTGCACAGGACGCTTTTGTTTGAAGCACCTGTCTAGAAATATAGGAACCTAAATTTCAGGACACATTGCTGAAAACAGAGGCATAGGTGCCCAAGCTGGTTTGCTACTGAAGAAACATACCGCGTGTTTACAGCCATCATCTATGGGACCACTGCTTAAAAATACAATATTCAGACAGTCACAACATTCTCAAGCAAGGGAAGTACCAACGTGACAGAGTCAATCTCAAAGCTCAAACAGGAAAATGATGAATTCCTGTAAGGAGTGAATTACCACTTCTGGCTCGTCATCTGACCTCTCCAACTCAGGTTCTTTTACACACAACTACCAAAGGTCAATTCCAATGCCAGCTAATGAATCAAAGCATCACCCACTCCACACAGCTGTTCCTTTGCACCTTCACTTATTTCACAGCCTTCATCTGTACGTTAATGCTAACAATCCCTCATCAAAATCAATTTAAAACTTCATTTGGCTTTGAACTGATAGATCCAATTATACTTAAGTGGCTAAAATGGAACCTGGCACAGGTCCACACATAGCAGTTCAATCTCCAGTGTGCAGCAAAACTGACAGTAAAAGGCATCTCAGACAGCAACCTCAGATGGGAAACGTGGAGGAAAATTATGGAGGATATGGAAGATCTTTAAACTAGCTGCCTCTAATTAAGAAGCTATCGAAGTAGGGATGACACAAAGGAGGGCGTGCAGTAAAGGTCAGTTACAGTCAAACAAGGCTGTTGGGGAAATGGCCAAAGCTTGCTCCAATGACACTGCTCATCACAAATCACAACAGTGACTGAGATTAACATTACCACAAGGTGCCAAGCCACATCGTTCATTTAGCTTCAGTGTCTTCTATATAATACAGGCCTTCAGGATCAGCAATTAAGGTAGCTGTACTAAATCCTGTCCCCCCCTTCACTTTAAGCCCCCTGCCTGCAGTCTCAGAGTAGTCACACATGACCTTTGAGCTGGCCACACAGGCTGCTGCTGCTAGCCCTCCCCTCCCTCCAACTCTGCACATCCCTCATTTCAGCTGCAGCTTGAGCACAGCAGCAAAATGACTGCTCCCACCCCGAGTGACAGCAAGGGGGGAGTCTGCAACAAGGAGCAGGACCCTTCCCTTCCAGGAGCAGTGGGAATTGCTAGTTTGTGTACAGGGAATGAGAAAATACGTTTTCCATTAGAATCACCAAACTTTGCCTCTGGATTTGGATGACCAGAGCATACAGATGAACAGAACTGGTTTAAGGGTAAGGAAGCAGCCTCAGTCTATGTGCAGGTTAACACTGGAGACCAGGCAAATCTTTCAACAAGTCAGATCAGCCTGCGTAGCCATGTGAAAACCAGCATACTCATTTGCACCATCAGAGTCAGTTTTGGGTCAAAACAGGGAGCAGATCTGACTCCCAAGCGTGCTACCCACTCACCAGTGCTGACAGAAGAGGCAGAAGCAGGACAGTGTCAGCATGGGCGGAGAGGACAAATATTCCTTTCAGCAGCTGCCCACAGTTAACAACCTTAAGCTTAACACAAAATTGCATCTTAAATCCCAAGAGAGATGGATCCAAGAAAGCCCTGTTCTCTGTCATAAAAAAACCCAGCTCTTTGACATGAAATCAATAGAAGGTTGAGATTTAGAGACACAGAAAGCCAGGGTAGATCACTGTTAAGTCAAAAAGGATCTGCAATCTATGCCCTGTTCAGGCTCTGAAACATCTTTCTTACATTCTTTTCAGCTATTTTCCCCTAACTTCTTAGCCTAAAGACACAGTACAAAAGAAGCCAATAGCTCCAAGGCTAAGGAACTCCCGGGTATGGGAGTCAGTCCTGTTGCCCAAGATGAAGAATTAACAATTGCCTGGAAATCTGGAAGCCAGTCTCACACAGGCTACAGGCAGAGAGAGAAAGAGAAAGACAAAACTTGCTGGGTTCCCTCAGATAACAGTTAATGCTGCAGTTATACAGAAGATTAAGTAAAGGACATTGTGGAAAACATCTGACAGTTCCAACACTCCAAGAGCAAGTGAAATGAACTCTCCACCTTAACTACATCTTCTGAAAGGGACTTGCCCACTTCCTGGACATTAAAGGATTTAAATTACCCCAAGAAAAACAATTTGCAAAGACATCAACTCTGACTGAGGAAGGTCTTGAGATCCAGACTAGAAGAACCTGAGAAAGGCTCAGAGAAAACAGTACAACACACCACCTCTGCTTTTCTTCTGTTCCCAGGACATTCAGTATCAACCACCACTGGAAAAGACGGGATGGACCAGACCCATCCCCACAGTCATTTATCCCAGTAATGACACCCCTGAGCAATCAAACAGCCACCTCCTTACGCCCGTCCCCGGGTGCTTGTACAGTCTGAGCTGTTGAGGTTTCTCATCTGCTGAGAGCTGAGCTAACCAAGCTGAAGTAGCTTGAGAGTCAGACATGACTGCAAGCATCTCTGAGCGATGTTCCATGTTAGGGTGTCGTAACGAGCCTAACCAAAAATTGAGATAATGTCTCTACTTGCAGACAGAGGAATGGCCCGACCCACCATAGTTGTTACACATCACTGTGCTCTTGCTTTCGAACGCTTGCAAAGCTGTGCTTCTTAGTGACTTGTCAATGTTTTTAACATCAGTTTACTGTATCTTTATATAATAGAACAGTACACACGCGGCTATTAAAAGGAAAACATACAATTCTGAAAAGGATGTCTATACATTTACCCTGCTCATGTGATTCAGAGTATGAAGTGAAAGAGCATACTCACTAACCAAGAAAATTCAGTGGGGATACCATTACTTGCCAAGGTAAAGGGACAGGGGAAATGAGTAGAGCTTATAAAACAAGAAACAGCAGAGAAATCCTGGTTTTAGAGGATATTTATTTCTTTAGGCACAAAGCTTAAAACACTAGATTGTAATGAAAATAATTCTCTTCTTTACCATGTTCAGACATCAATTTTCCCTTTGCTACCATAAGACACTGTGCTGCAGTTCAACGTCCTGCTGCCATTTACCCTTCTCTTCCCCACCCCCCTCCCCATCCTCTTATTTTCCCTCACACAGGTTTCTGTGAATCAACTTCAGGTAAACCCTGGCAGCTCACTAACCATCTCCACCTATTGCTCTGATACCTTTTAACAGACAGCTTCCAAATCGCACTCATGTTTTTAAATATATTAAAATCCAAAACGCAGCAGAGCACAAGGAGCCAAGTGCTGAAGTCAGTTCTTCATCTTTCAAGCACTGGTGGTTTTCCTACAAACCAGAAGGCAGAAAACCCACAAATTTGAAAGTGTCTACTTCAGGAGCTGGCAGCAGAGCAGCAACAAGCCCTGCCTGACCAGAACTGACTCAAGCCGCGCGGATGCCCCTGCGCTGCTGCCAGCGTGCTGAGTTCAAAGAAAGGTTATTAGCCAGCATGTCTTCAGTACAACACTGCAGCTCGGGTGATAAATCCACAGCCCAGCACACTTCAAACAGCTCTGCCTGGCTGGGCTTCCTGGCTCCTGCTCAGCATCAGCCCTCAGAGCCATCTCCTGCAGAGCTGCATCAAGACCTCTGCCCTGTAAATCCTGAAGGTGTCGGATCCACACGGATCAAGTCTCATAACAAATATACCAAATCCTCAGCACAGCACCTCAATTAGCCAGCTCTCCCAGGGACAGAGCTACCGTGAGTGAGCAGGATTCAGCAACCTGGCTTCAGAAAACGCCCTGGACGCCTCACACCCGAGACAACACATCTAAACTAGTAAACTTGTCCAGACCTGAACTTCTTTCTCAGCACAGAGCTGCTCTTTCTGAGCCCCCATGGCACTGTTAACACATTCACCCCAATAAATCACCAAAGAATAATTGAGATTTACTCATGCTTGAGGAATACAACCCCCAGGGGGCAGCTAGAAACAGCAAACAAGCTGGAGGGTCTGAGAAGCTTTCATTTTATAGAGACCAAAGAGTTCTGATCTGGATTTTTTTTCCTCCCCTGCATTTCATATGACTTTAGGCTTACTGAAATGCCCTAGGGGTTTTCCCCACACCACAGCTGTTATTCAAGTCTTACTCTCCAGGTCATCCCTACTGCAGACATAACAAGGGCAGCACTGAAAACAAGCATGACATGTCAACAAAGAGATAAAACAAGGAAACCACCAGGTGGGGACCAGTTGAGGCTCTTGTCTTTCCATAAATTGAAAATAGTTATTGAATTAGACAAGTGCTGTTTCAGAAGTCAGCAAAAAAAATGTGATCAGATCAAAATCTGATCACACCTATGATCAGATTAAAAACTGACTCACCTATTTAGGTATTTTTGCTATCAAGCTATTAATACTCATGTGCCACACATTTGGCCTCAAAATTACCCACCTCCTACCATTTTCAGATTCACCCTAATCTGGCAGAAATTAACAGACAACTCAGACTGTTGAGTGTTTCTTTGCTATACAAGATGCTCAATTGCCATTTTAGGCTAGATACCTGTGATTTGCACATACGAACTTACTGTTTACAATGTCACCTTGCAGCTGAAGAATTTGTGGAACAGGCATTGTGAGAATAACTATATCAAACTGTTCCATTTGTCCCATTTTCCTGGAGACTTCCCATTTCCCATCTCGGAGAGAGATACGAGTTACATGGTGTTCATAGAAGACATCCGCACCTGCGTGGAAAAATAAGATAAATACATGTAATGGTGAGTTCCACAGAGAAAATGCAGATTAGTAGGAACTGAGGATCTGGATGACTTGCAAACAGCAAAGCACACAGACAGTCCTAGGGCAAAGTTTCACAAATTAGGTTGAATTAATTTAACAGCCAGCATATGACATTAAAAGAGGGGATTCTCATCAGCTGAAAAGATCCCATCACTCCCCTGTGCTAGGGCTGGTATTCATCTGACTCCTCTCTGAGGTGATTCAGTTCAGTAAACAGATGGAAAACTACCAGCTGCTCCCTTTGTCAGGTTAGTTTAGTGTGGCTTTAGGGAGCTGAACCATATCAGTGTGAAATCTGAGGAGTACAGGAGGCAGCATGGGGTAAGCAATCAAAGCACACCCCCAGGAGCTGAAAGAGAGAGCATTGCCCCCGTTAGCATCCCTCACCTATCAGAAGACAGGAATATAGTTAACTATTTACAAGATTAGGACCTAAAAAATCAGCTAGTTAAAAAAAATACAAAAACAGTCACATGATGGGAACAACATTTGACTACTCATAAAGCTAACATTTTTCAAACCAGAGTTAAATGAGTCACTACACTGTACAAGTGGTTCTGCCACATTATACCTAATGCAATGATTACAGTTTAAACTAGCAGATGATCTTCTTCAATCTCTTCTAAAGGACTTCCAGTGCAGTAGTCTCACATACTGCATAAGCACGCACTTCTACGAAACACAGGATGTAGCTCACCACTATGTACCCAGTTGCTTGCTTAAACTCACATGAAGTACAGTTAACTTCAGTACACACTCACAAAAAAATACCCAAACATTCACTTCATTCAAGATGCAACTCAAAACTCCTCTCAACCATGATCTCACGCCCACTAAATTGTCTCTGACCTAACTGTGTCAGGTCCAACTTTCATATGCTAAAGCCAACAGTAAATATAAGCTTGGCCCCTGATGCTACAGATGTTATATTTGTATAGAGATTTTTATATGTCAGCAGTGCAGCTGAAGTCAGCGAAGCACTTGCAGGACTTGGAAATGTATAGAGCTTGCAGACATGTTTATCCAACTAAGCAACTTCAAGACACATGTAAACAAACAAGGAGCTTGAACATTCTCACTGGAGATTGAAATTTGAAAGGCAGTTCAAGAATGCCATCAAAAAAACAATCATTAAAACCTTACATTTCATACAAAGGCGTCTAAAAAAATTACCTGACTGTTTTAAATAATACTTGACAACAGAGGAGATGCCCTGGGGTGCCACATAATTGCACGAGCCTTCTTTCACTACCATTCCTTCAATGGGCGCAGTCAGCGGTTTCAAGATGCCATGAGACAGAAGTTCCTCATAGAAGCTTAAAGGGAGCAAACAGCACAGAAATGAAAATACACTGCATGAAAACCAACAGCAGCTGTCATTATTTTTCACAGTTAAAGTTAAGACCAGCCTAACTTTCAAATTCAGAGAACAGTTTTCAATGACAGCATACAACCTCTGTTTCGAGCCAGACCCGTAGCTCTAAAAGAAGAGACTACCTTTCTATTTTATTGGGGCTGGCCTTTTCCATGAGGCCAAGCCTCCCTACCACGCCTGTAACAGAAACTGTTAGCAGTTTGACCTGAAGGTTTCAGGAAGAACCGTGACTGCGGCTTATACAAATTACTTAAAGCTCTGAGTATCAGTGCAAACTGCATTGCCACTGTGGAGTGCAGGAATTACGGACACAGGTGCGTGAAACACGCCTGCACCTTCCCCGCTTCCCACACAAACTCTGCTTTTTTTACAGTCGCTGTTACACCACCCCCCCCTTCCCCAGCCAGCGCTGAGCCACCCTGCGCACTCACGAGCCCAAGCAGGCCCTACCCACGCACTCCTCCCACGGCCAGCCGCCGCTCCTCCTCAGGGCAGAAACATCGTGTCCCCACGAAGACAAGGCACCTCACGCTTCTTCTTGCACCCCGAGCCTGCCTGTCACCCCACGCCGCGCCTGAGGCGAGGGGGGGAAGGGGGCGGGGCGAGGGGGGACGGGGCGGGGCGAGGGGAGGGGCGATAAGGGAAAGAGGCGGGGAGACGGGGAGAATGGGCGGGGCAATATGGGAAAGGGGCGGGGCGATGGGGGAAAGGGGCGCGGTGATGGGGAAAGGGGCGGGGCGATGGGGGAAAGGGGCGGGGCGATGGGGAAAGGGGCGGGGCGATGGGGGAAAGGGGCGGGGCGATGGGGGAAAGGGGCGGGGCGATGGGGAAAGGGGCGGGGCGATGGGGGAAGGGGCGGGGCGATGGGGGAAAGGGGCGGGGCGATGGGGGAAAGGGGCGGGGCTCACCTGAGGCGCGGCCCCGCCCTCTCCGGCTCCAGGGTGACGAACTGCGCGCCCAGGTCGGCGGCGCCCCGCGCGCTGCGGCTGGTGCTCATACGGCCCCCTGCGCCAAACCGCCGGTCAGAGACCGCTGCGCCACGCCCACGCCGCGCCGCGCCCACGCCACGCCCACGCCACGCCACGCCACGCCACGCCACGCCGCGCGCCGTGCCCACCTGCGCCGCGCGCCTTCTCCCAGACGACGAGGTGGGCGGGCGCCATCCCCCGCAGCAGCGCCGCGCAGGCGCTGCCCGTCAGCCCCGCGCCCACCACCAGCACCCGCGCCATGGCCGGCTACGCCACGCCACGCCACGCCACGCCACGCCACGCCACGCCACGCCCTGCTTGTGGGCGGACACCTCGGCGCCGCCACGCCCCCTCCTCGGCGGGGACGCGTCCCGCCACGCCACGCCCACGGGGCGTTGCGGACGCGCCGGGGGGGGGGGGAGGCGTTCGGCCACGCCCACACGGGCAGGCGCAGCCTCCCCTGGCACGCGCGCCCCTGGGCACGCGCGGCTCTCTGCTTCCTTTGCCTGGAACACGCGGGCGGCAGCCGGGCCCGGTGCAAGCGCGGTGAGGCTCGGGGCGAGAACTTCTCACAGAAAGCACGAGCACGTACGCGCACGCAGGCGCGCGCCCAGGCAGGCGCACACGCAGCCCCGCACGCATACGTGGGCGCGCACGCTTCCCCCTGCGTGCACACCCGTGCACACCTCCCCCCATGCACACACCCCCCATGCACACACACCCCCCATGCACACGCACACCCATGCACACACACCCCCCATGCACACACCCCCCATGCACACGCACACCCATGCACACACCCCCCATGCACACACACCCCATGCACACACACCCCCATGCACACACCCCCCCATGCACACACACCCCCCATGCACACACCCCCCCATGCACAGACACCCCCATGCACACACCCCCATGCACACACCCCCCATGCACACACCCCCCCATGCACACACACCCCATGCACACACACCCCATGCACAAACCACCATGCACACACCCCCCCATGCACACTCCCCCCCATGCACACACCCCCCATGCACACAACCCCCATGCACACGCACCCCCATGCACACGCACACCCATGCACACACCCCCCATGCACACCCCCCATGCACACACACCCCATGCACACACACCCCCATGCACACACACCCCCCATGCACACACCCCCCATGCACACGCACACCCATGCACACACCCCCCATGCACACGCACACCCATGCATACACCCCCCATGCACACCCCCCCATGCACACACACCCCCATGCACACACCCCCCCATGCACACACCCCCCCCATGCACACACCCCCCCATGCACAGACACCCCCATGCACACACCCCCCATGCACACACCCCCCCATGCACATACACCCCATGCACACACCCCCCATGCACACCCCCCCATGCACACACCCCCCATGCACACGCACACCCATTCACACACCCCCCATGCACACGCACACCCATGCATACACCCCCCATGCACACCCCCCCATGCACACACCCCCCATGCACACACACCCCATGCACACACACCCCCATGCACACACCCCCCCATGCACACTCCCCCCCATGCACACACACCCCCATGCACACTCCCCCCCATGCACACACCCCCCATGCACACAACCCCCATGCACACGCACCCCCATGCACACACACCCCCCTGCATGCACACCTGTGCACAGAAACACACACACCCCTGTGCACACACACCCACCCACCCTGTACTCACACACCCCTGTATGCACACCCCACCCTGCACACACACCCCCCCCTGCACGCACACACACCTCTGCACGTGCACTTGTGCACACACCCCCCCTCACCTGCACACCCCCACACCCCCCTGCACACACACCCCCCTCTGCATCCACACCTGTGCACACACCCCACCCCGTGCTCACACATGCACACCCACGCTCATCACACACACACACACACACACACACACACACACACCCCGCCACCTCCCTCACCCCCACAGGCAGCTCCCGGGGCAGTGGGTGCCCCAGCCCCCTTGGTGGCCTCTGCCCGTGTCCCTCCCTGCCCTGGTCTGAGCCCAGAGGAGCCGCTCACTCCCCCCTTCCCCCCCAGGAGGGGGAAGGAGAAAATAAAGCAAAAGGCTGGGGAATCCAGATGAGGACAGGGAGGAGCAGCTCACCCGTTACAGTCACGGGGAAAAGACAGACTCGTTAGGGGAAGAAAATGCCTCCCCCCACCCCTCCCTTCTCCCCGGGCTCAGCTCTGCTCCCCATCTCTCCCCCTCCTCCCCCAGCAGCGCAGGGGCAGGGGATGGGGGTTACAGCCAGCTCGCCGCTCCCTCCCCCTCGGGATGGGGGGTGAACACCACACACCCCTCCCCGGCTCCACGGGGCTCCCCTCTGGCTGCAGGCAGTTCTCCGTGAACCTTCCCCGCAGCGAGTCCCCCCACAGGACACGGCCGCTCCCGAGGTCCAGTTCGGGTAGGTCCAGTTTTGGTGCGAGACGTCTAGAGACACTGGTGAGGCCCTGTGGAAGATGATAAACTGGCAGCGACCCTACAACAGGAGGTGGACGGAGCTGAGTTTATTGGGTGCGGCCACGGGGAGACTGAGAGTGGTCTGAGAGCAGCCTGTGAGTCCTCGGAGGGCGAAAGGTGATAGAGTGAAACGCTTCTCGGTAGTGGCAGGTGATTTGATAAGGGAAAAAATGTGTCGACACCAGATGCGTGGAAATCCTTCTTTCTCTGGGGAGTTGGGAGCAGCTTTGGGGCAGCCACCACAGGGGTGGGGGATCTCCATCCTGGGTGATTTCCAAATTTAACTGCAAGCCAGGGTCAGTCTGACTCAGTACTGGGAATAGACTTGCTTCTAATGGAACAGTGGATAAAGACACAATATCTGCCATTGGAAATCCATTTTAGACTTCAATCTTCCCTTGTAATAACTTAATTATTTCTCTTGTAATAGATAAATGAAATGGCCATTGAAACATGAAGCTGGAAACTTTCTTCAGAGTTACCAATTAAGTCACTTTGCCCATGGAAATCACTTTTAAATGTCCATAGTTATTTGACTCTGCCTAAACGGTATTTAACCGGCCTGCACAAACAAATTGTGGGCAACTGTACTTTCTAAACTCTGGTATTGCCTCATGATTTACATGTTTAATATCTCAGTGTGTTTACGTTTAGTCTTCTCCGTCCTTGCTACCCCACCCTCCAGACAGATCAGGTAGGGTTGTCCTAAGAGAGACGAAGAGTGCTGTGGTGCACACCAGCGAGAGGTGAGGACCAGTCCTCTGCTGCCGCTGCGTGCCCCAGCTCTGACCCCTGCACACCGAGCATCGCCTCCCTCTGAGGGGCTGGCACCTCCCTCGCTCCTCACACAGGAGCTGTGCCACCCCTCCGCCGGGCTTGCAGCCTCTGCTTTTACACAGGCGAGTGCAGGGAAAACATTGGGAGAACTGGGTGTCTTCCTAAGTGTGGATGTGGGTGACGTTTATGGATCCAGCTGAAGGAAGACAACTCCAACCCGGCTGCCTGTGTTTGTCTGAGAAGAGGAGACCGAAATCTGATCTGCTGGGTCAAATCCAGAGGCTGGTCCAGCCCAGTTTTCTTTGCCTGGTACTGGTGAAAGCAGAGACTACCCAGGGAAAGCACGTCAGCCTGGCCGCTTTCTGTGGTCCATCACCTGGTAGTCTCTAACATCTACAGCTGTTGTTGGAGGGACCAACCCTGCCCGGTCCTTTCAGTATCTGTTTATGGACCTATTGCCCGTAATTTTGTGTAAAACCTCCTGCTGTTCCTATTTGCCTTCACCACCTCTTGTGGCAGGCGCACTCTCCACTGCACAAAGCTTTTTTTTAAACTGTGTTAAACCCACTCTTATTAAGTGATACCTAGATTTGCTGGAAGATACATTGCTTCCAAGCAAGGTGATACAATTCACACATAGATTTGCACTTATAAATGTTCTTTTCTGAATTAAATGTAATCAAGTCTTGTCTTTTTCACTATGATCATAGAAAAGGGCAAGTGGTTAGCGATTTTCTTTTCATGATTTTATTTCTATTTAGGGAGTGATTGCAATGTTGGCTCTTACTCAATTGATCAAAATCAACCTGCTATCCTCACTCTGCCTCCTGGTAGACTTGGACAGTTGTGTTAACGGGTGATGCAAACAGCACGGCGATGTTATAAAGCTCTCCCTCTCAGTCATATCCCATCCTGTAATGCAGCTGGGAAGAGACATGGGAGAAGAGGCTCACAGTGTGTCGTAACTGATATGACAAGTGACACACTACATCCTTTGTGTATTGGTAAGAGCGAGTCTGGCTTGGGATCTGCAGCTTGTGCCGGTGCCGGTGCTCTCGCTGTGCCCCTCTGAGCAGACTCTGGCCCCCCTGCCTCCAAGACCCTTTCGGGCAGGGGGAGATGCCGTTGGATCCCCCTTCGCCTCCAGCTGAGGAAGCCCAGCTCTCTCTCTTGGCCTCCACCCCACCATTGCAGTAGCCCGGCACAGAACTCGTTCCAGTTTGTTAAGTAGATCTTGTACTGGGCAGCCCCTCAAAGTCCCAGTATGCAGCTGTGGCCTCCCCAGTGCCCATCAGAGGCAACAGCCTCTTCTCAGAACCTGCTGCCTGCGCTCTGGCCAGTTCAGCCTTCATCACTCCCAGGGTGCAGCCTTGGTAATCTTATTGTCCCCTGCAATTCCCACCTCCTTCTCTTCAAGCTGATTTTTGTCTGGTGTGGGTTTTTTTACCCAATCTACCCAGCCGGTACTGTGGCATGGGCTTTTTTTTTTTTTTTTTTTTTTTTTTTTTTCCCCTCCTGTGTGGAGGACTTCACATCTCTCTGCCTCGTATGTCTTACTGAGATGAGAAACCTCTAGCTGTTTGCCAAAGGTGATGTGGGAGACCGTGTCTGCATAGCTATCGGTCGGGGGGGGAGACCGTGTGGTGAACACTGGAATATACTGTTTAAAATGGGAGCTGGCAGTACTGTAATGGATTGTTTTTAAAACCATAATTAAATACTCAGTGATTTTCTCTTTGACATGCCTTGCCTTGCAGTCCTGCAATTCCTGTAGAAAGCACCAGGTTGCCCTTGAGCTCCAGGAGCTAATTGCACTACAGTCTGGGGTTCAAAGGTATTTCCTGGTTTCTTTTGGACAGGAGCAGATATATTAAACTAAAATAACAAAAAAAAAAAAAAAAAAAAAAAAGAAAGGCTCACTCATGTGATGTTATTTTTTAACACACTTGCAATTTCCAGTGGTCTGTAGAGCACTGCAAGGCTTGCTGCCTTGT